GATGCAGGGTCAAGCACAGGCTGGGACCGCGCAGGGTGCCCAGCATTGTGGGTCTCTATGGTGCAGGAGCTGTTGGGCAATGCCAGCTCCACCACAGGCTCCTCACCAGCCCTAAGCAAGGATCACCTTTTGCACCACAGAAAGCAACCTGGCACCCCTCGAGCTTTCCACACAGTCACTAACATCTCAGTTCTTTTGCAAAGCCTGTCTAGAAAGTCCATGTTTCATGAACCAGCATCTGCAGGCACCAGCATTCCCCAACCCTTCCCATAAATGTGATGGGGACATGAGCTGGGAGCAGCCCTGCGTGGCACTGGTGGAGCACGCTGTGGGCTGGGCTTCCAGGAGATGCCTGAGGTCCTTGGGCAGAGATGTGCAGGGAGGGATGGAGCTGTGGTGGGAGAGGTGCAAGGAGCAGCGAGCGCCTCTGGGGAGGCTGAGCTGCCAGGTCATGTCAGTGGGTCAGCCCCAGCTTCCCTGCCTGGCCACAGAGCCTTTCCCCGGGGCACAGGGACAGGGGTCGAGGAAGGACACGGAGCATCACCCGCCAGCCGGGCTGGAGGCATGCACACCATGAATCCAGCTCGTGTGGCTGCACGGCCCCGTGACTCACGGGTAAGCACCCGGATGAAGCTCACTCCACCCTCCCAAAACCAAACAGCACCCAGCACCCCTCTGCACCCAGCGTCTCGCCAAGGGAGCTGCTGAAACACAGCCCAGACCATGGGGTCTCTGCACAACACACCATCTCTGCACCCTCGCTGTGTAACAAGGGGCTGGTCAATGCAACAAGGGGACCCCTCAATTAAACAAATACCCTTAGCAGAGCTGCTTCCCGTGACCCTGTAGAGTCCACAGTCACCTCCAGCCCATCAGGCAGGAAAGCAGAGGGAAGACTGGCCCTAGGGGACAGCAGGGCACAGGCAGCCTGGCCAGGCAGCCCGGAGCAGGCAGAGGGGGGCTTTTGGGGTGGCCGGGCTGCTGGGGTGAGGCACGAGGATTGCCCTGGCAGTGACTAAGCCTCTGGCACGCGTGACTCCCCGCAGCCGAACGCGGCTGGGTGCAACACACCTGGGCTATGGAAACACTTCCCGCTTCACCCACCGGCCCCGTGAATCAGAGCACCCCGTGGATTTGGAAACGGTCACGCGTCCTCACGGCCGACTACACCCCAGTGACATCCCAGGGGTCCCCAAGTCAGAATGTGCCCCAGGGGACTCGGCCCCTGGGTCAGAGA